AACGGAGAGCCTTCCCTCTAAGATCAGGGACGAGACAGGGATGCCCACTCTCTCCACTGCTGTTCAATATAGTACTGGAAGTACTTGCAATAGCGATTAGGCAGGAAAAAGATATTTAGGGCATTCAGGTAGGAAAGGAAGAAATCAAGCTCTCACTATTCGCAGATGATATGATACTATACTTAGAGAACCCAATAACTTCCACCAAAAAACTCCTAGAAACAATAGACTCGTATAGTAAAGTTGCAGGTTATAAAATCAATACCCAAAAGTCCATGGCTTTCCTATACGCAAACAGTGAGAGAGAAGAAAGCAACATGGAAAAAACAATCCCGTTCACAATTGTGCCCCAGAAAATCAAGTACCTAGGAATCAGTTTAACTAAGGAAGTAAAGGACCTATACAAAGAAAACTACAAAACGCTACTTCAGGAAATAAAAGAGGACATGAGGAAATGGAAAGATATCCCCTGCTCATGGGTCGGGAGACTTAACATTGTCAAAATGGCAATACTACCGAAAGCATTGTATAAATTCAATGCAATCCCTATAAGGATACCCATGACATTCTTCAAAGAAATGGAGCAAACACTTCTGAAATTTATATGGAACAATAAGCCCCCACGAATAGCTAAAGCAATTCTTGGGAAAAAGAAAATGGGAGGAATCAACCTCCTGAACTTCAAACTTTACTACAAAGCAGTAATAATTAAAACAGCATGGTACTGGAACAAAGGCAGAACTGCAGACCAATGGAACAGGGTTGAATACACTGACATCTCCCCTCAATCATATGCTCATCTAATCTTTGATAAAGGTGCAAGTAATGTGAAGTGGAGTAAGGAAAGCCTCTTTAATAAATTGTGTTGGCATCACTGGACGGCGACATGCAAAAAAATAGGCTCAGAACTCTGCCTAACACCATGTAGAAAAGTAAGATCAAAATGGATTAAAGACCTCAACATCAGACCAGAAACCATAAGGTACATTGACGATAAAGTTGGTAAAACCCTCCATGACATTGAAGCTAATGGTATCTTCAAAGATGCCACGCCAGTGGCCGAGCAACTGAAAACAGAGATAGATAAATGGGACTATCTTAAACTAAGAAGCTTCTGCACCTCCAAAGAAACAGTGACCAAAATACAAAGACAGTCTACAGAATGGGAAAGGATATTCACCGAATACACATCTGACAAGGGGTTGATATCCAGGATATACAAAATACTGTTTAAACTCCACAAGAAGAAAACATCCAACCTCATCCAAATATGGGGCAATGAAATGAACAGAAACTTTCTCAAAGAAGAAATCCGAATGGCAAAAAAGCACATGAGAAAATGCTCTACATCATTAATCATCAGGGAGATGCAGATCAAAACCACAATGAGATACCATCTCACACCTCAGAGACTGGCCCACATTCAAAAGAACAAAAGCAACCGATGCTGGCGTGGATGTGGCGAGAAAGGGACACTCCTTCACTGTTGTTGGAAATGTCCACTGGTTCAGCCCTTCTGGAAAACAGTATGGACGATTCTCAAAAAATTAGAAATTGAGCTCCCATTTGACCCAGCAATACCACTCCTGGGAATATATCCCAGAGAGGCAAAAATGTATAGTCGAAGTGACATCTGTACTTGTTTGTTCATTGTAGCACTCTTTACAGTAGCCAGAAACTGGAAGAAACCTGAATGCCCAAGAACAGATGACTGGTTAAAGAAACTTTGGTACATCTACACAATGGAGTACTATGTAGCTGTTAGAAAAGATGAAGTCATGAAATTTACATACAAGTGGTACAATATGGAAATTATCATGCTACGCGAAATGAGTCAGAAAGAGAGGGATAGACATAGAAAGATTGCATTCATCTGGGGGATATAAAGTTACAAAGTATGAGATTAATACCCAAGAATAGCTGAGATCAACACCAGGAGGATTACTCCATAACTTACAGGCCAGTCTGGTATCCTATAGGAAATGGCAGTTCAGATAGAGAAGGGAGCACCAAATCAAGGATGTTTGGAGGATTCTCCCAGGAGGGGAGATGCATGTCGAAAGTAGACTATGGACTGAACATGTTTGCCACTCAATGCCTCTTTTGCAGACCACAACACCCAAAAGGAGAGAGAGAACACAGGGGATTGCCCTGCCACAGAGACAGGGGGGATGAGGGGATGGGGGTGGGAGGGATATTATCCATGGTGGTGGAAAATGGGCACTGGTTGAGGGATGGGTATCTGATCATTGTATAATCGAAACCAAAGCACAAAAAATGGTAAATCTACAACTGTAAAAAAAAATAAAATAAAATAAAGGGAAAAAATGCTTTAATGCTGGAAAAAAAAACTTATGAAAGAATAGCAAAAGTAGACTCAAAGGAGATGTTCACACCCAGGATATGAGGGAGAAGGGATCAAAAACTGGGGCAGAAATTCAAGAAGAAGGTATACTTTTCTTCTTATTCTTTGGATTTAAAATTAAGCTAAGAAGAAATGAGAGTTTTCAGAGGCTTGGATCAAGGGAAATACAGAACTTTTGATAGAGGTTTAAAACAGAAAGGATATACTATAAAAAAATCTACTCTTTCAGAAAGTAGTCTATTCTTTCAAAGAATGTAATAAGCTAGATGTTTCTGCTCTTTGGTTTTCAAACTGGAATGAGGGGGTAAAAAACAGATAGTTTAACTCAGCATTGAACTCTTCAGACATTTTAGAGCCACACAGAATCTAAAGTTCTTTTTTCACAAAATTTGCCTAGCACTTGGCCAACGTGGCCGACCTGAGTTCGATTCCTCCACCCCTATTGGTGAGCCCAGCAAGCTACAGAGAGTATCTTGTCCACACAGCAAAGCTTGGCAAGCTACCCAAGACTTATTCGATATGCCAAACACAGTAACAACAAATCTGCTTGAGCAAATCGATGAACAATGGAAAGACAGTGCTATACAGTGCAGGCTATTTAAATACAATGATTTAGAAATGGAGTTATAGTCATACAATGATTCAACACCAATCTCAAACAGTGTCAATTTCTCTTGCCCCCAGTTTTCTTCCTACCCTCCCAGCTAAACTCATTAACAGGTACCTTAAGTTAATTTAAAAATGGGGGGCAGAGCCACACCTGGTGATGCTCGGGGCTTACTACTTACTCTGTGCTCAGTAATTACTCCTAGTAGCTCTTGGGGGAACATTTGGGATGACAGGGATTGAACCCAGGATGGCTGCATGCAAGGCAAGTACAGTATTCAGCATTTAATCTTGTACTTCTGACCTTACATACTATCCATTAGTTCCATGCAAGTTGCAGCAAACTGCATGATTTCATCATTACTTGCAGCTGCATAGTAATGTCTCATCTAGTTGTGAGACACTTTGGTTGATTCCATATCCCAGCTATGGTACTAGGTGTGTATGTTAGACTTTTGAAAGGGTCTCCCTATATGTGGATAACCACTGAAATGCATTCACTTATTTATATGGAAGAGTAATTTCCAGGCTATAAATGCCATGCTGTAGTATCTTACATGGCCTAGAGAGGTCAAGACTACCCTACTAGTCCTCAACAATAATGGTGAGTCAGACAGGAGATCAAATGAATTTTTTTCCTTTCTACGAAAATACTTAATCACATGAGACAAAGGGAGAAAATAGTCCCCCAAATGAACCTTAATTAGCAGGAAATCAGCAACAGAATAAATTTTAAAAGAGAAACACCAAAATTTTGTAATGGCTTAGGAGAGTAAAAAAAAAAACAGAAGATTTTTAAAAATTAATTTACTCCTCTTTTCTTCCCTTGATGGTTTGACTTTTGTTAAATGAGGATACAGATGAATGGCTTAGTCAATTGAAAGGCTGTGCCACTGGATCGAACTACAGAGGGTAGAATGTGGTACAGAAAAATTCAGGGGTTTAATGGGCTTTGAAACCTCTTCACATTGCTGCCAAAGTTCTGCCACACGAATAAACATTTGTCTGCTTTCCAAACAATAATAGAGGGAGAGGACACAATTACCTTTGAAAACTAAAATTTCCTCTCTCTGTACTAATACCAATGGTAATTAAGACAAAGGAAGGGTCACTGTCACTGTCCTCCTGTTGTAAATTGATTTGCTCTAGTGGGCCCAGCAACGTCTCCATCGTGAGACTTGTTGTTACTGTGTTTGGCATATCAAATATATCATGGGTAGGTTGGCAGGTTTGCCGTGTAGGTGAGATACTCTCGGTAGCATGCCAGGCTCTCTGAGAGGGGCAGAGGAATCGAACTCGGGTGGGCCATGTCGGCCATGTGCAAGGCAAACGCCCTACTGCTGTGCTACTGTAGTTTTTCTTCCCTTTTTCCTTTTGGCATCCTGGGACCTCATTCTGAAAGGATAGGTCTGCACTAAAATGTACTTACACTGATTAATTTTGACAACTGTTGGTACTTTAAAAAATATTCATGGCAATGTCAGAGAAAATTTAACTCAAGTGAACAGAAAAAATAAATACAAATGAAAAATTGTTGTGTATGCTAAGGGAAATGCAGCTCAGATAGAGAAGAGAGCACCAAATAAAGGGTGTTGGGAGGATCCTCCCAGGATGGGAGAAGCATGCTGAGAGTAGACTATAGACCAAACATGACTGCCACTCAATGCCTCTTTTGCAAACCACAACACCCAAAAGGAAGGAGAGAACAAAAGGGAATGCCCTGCCACAGAGGCAGGGTGGTATGGGGGGGATGGGGAGTGGGAGGGATACTGGGATCAGTGGTGGTGGAAAATGGGCACTGGTAGAGGGATGGTGCTTGATCATTGTATAATTGAAACTCAAGCACAAAAAATTTGTAAGTCTACAAATGTACCTCATGGTGTTTCACTAATAAAAATTTTAAAAAAAGAAAAATTATTGTGTATGAGTCAATACCCAAAACAACTCATGTTTTTCCTAGATGTACATCTACATTTGGTGAACTACATATAGTTAACAATAACTAAAAGCAGAACAGGTCTTCACATACCCATGTTTTCCTTCGATAATGCATCATCTGAACAAACATTTTCAAAAGAGCATTTTAAAATGTCTGCCCTAAAAAGAGAATTTGAGAGATTTAGTTTCAAAAATCAATCATGTATATATTAAGTGATGAGTCATAAATATTCATTAGTAACTATAGCATAGGAATATATATTTTTTATCTCCATGCATTTTTCCTTGTTTATACAAAAAGCAGGGCAGCATAATACAGTGAAAAACAAAAGGGGAGTAATATTGATTTAAGATAAAAAAAACACACTATCAATCTGCCAGGTATTTTATATGAACTTCTTCATATAATCTTACCCCTTTCCAGAAATCTATTGATGCTCTGAGAAATTAATAAACTTCACAACACAGGTAAATGTGCAGAGCATTACAAAACTGTATTTTTCCAGACTGAAATATAAGCTACAATTTCTTTTAGATAACTGTAATACACCCCCCACCATGTTAAGGGGTTACAGTGAAATGTAAATGAGAAGACAGTGAACGTCCTTTGAAAATTTTTACTCAACTTCTGAAAATAAAAAAGAAAAGGACTATCTATTAGGGTCAGTCCTATACTTTGAAAAGGACTCCACCCAAGGGCATGGGACCCTCTCTGGGCATGCACAGCTAGATCCATCTCCTAGAAAGCTGGTTTTCTCCCCTGATCTGCGCGGGATAGGCACGGAGGCCCAGCTCTGGGCAACAAAGCTGAACGGCTCCAATTCCAACCAGGTACAGCCCGCCCCCAAGGGCCTGGGACCCTCTCTGGGCATGCGCAGCTAGATCCATCTCCTAGAAAGCCGGATTTCTCCCCTGATCTGCGCAGGACAGGCACGGAGGCCCAGCTCTGGACAACAAAGCTGAACGGCTCCTCATTCCAACCAGGAGACGTTCCTAACTGCTCGCCTAGTGCCAGGGACTCTTTTTGGAGCTGTGCCTGCTAACGCGGCCGTGAAATATTTTCCCACTACATATGCCATAGGAACCATAAGCTACCTTCTTAGATGGAAACTTCTCTAGTTTAGCTCAGACACTAGAAACACAGTAGCCAATAACTCATAAGCCTATCTTAACTCACACTGCATATCAAGCAGAATAGTAACAGTGAACGTGAAGGACTAAACCACACTTGTCACGATGGTAAAGCAATGCAAAAGCCCACCAAACATTCTTATTGAAGAGTCTAGCCCAGATGACACCAACAGTACTATAGTGTTAGACAACCTCTCTGACAGGAATTCAGAAGGGAGCTACTTACGATGCTTAGGGAACTAAAAGAAACAATGGAAAGCAATGCCAAAAGAAGACAAGAAGATTTGAAGGCAGAAATGAGGAAAATGCAATCAGAAATGTCAGACCTGAAAAATCTCATAGGCGAATTGAAAAATCTCAGTGGAAGGCCTCAGCAGCACAGTAAGAGCTGCTGAGAACAGAATCAGTGAGCTCGAAGATGAAGTTCAGAGACTCTCCAGAAAAGAGCAGAAAATGGAAAAGAGACTCACAATTCGGGAACAGATGGCAAGAGAAGATCATGATGAAGCCAAGAGGGGTAACATAAGAATTATTGGAGTCCCAGAGAGACAGGAAGAAAACCTCGATGAAGAAGAAACTGTCAAAGACATCACTGCTACAACATTTCCAGAGCTGAAGAAAACTTGTGACCACATTCAGGAGGCCCGAAGGGTACCAGCTAGAAGAAATCCGAATAAAAATACCCCAAGACACATTCTGATCAAAATGACCAAAACCTTAGACAGAGACAAAATTCTGAAAGCAGCAAGATCGAAGAAAGAAATCTCTTACAAAGGAGCATCCTTAAAATTCACAGCTGATTTTTCTGATGAAACCCTCATGGCCCGAAAACAGTGGTGGGACATAGTGAAAAAACTCAATGAAATAAATGCCTCCCCAAAAATACTTTTCCCAGCAAGACTCTCATTCATAATAGAAGGAACAACACACAGTTTCACAGACAAACAACAGCTCAGGAACTACATAGACGCAAAACCATGGTTCCAAGAACAACGAAATGGGCTACTTTAAAGCAAGAAAGGCCCCTCAAATACACCAAATTTCAACAGAACAATCGGAAAAAATCCCATAACAATAATCTATCTCAATGTCAATGGGCTAAACGCACCAATTAAAAGACATAGAGTGGCAGGATGCATTAGAAAATTGAAACCCAACATTCTGCTGCCTGCAAGAAACACATCTCAATAGTCTAAGCAAACAGAGACTCAGAGTCAAAGGCTGGAAAACAATCCTACAGGCAAACAGCTCCCATAAAAAAGCTGGGGTAGCCATCCTAATATCAGACCACATCGATTTCAGAGTGAGGAAGGTCATAAGAGACAGTGAAGGCCATTTCTTATTGATCAAAGGATCTGTACAACAGGAAGAACTTATAATAATAAATGTATATGCACCTAATGAGAGACCAACAAAGTACTTAAAACAACTACTTATAGATTTGGAAAAAGACATCAATAGCAACACAATACTAGTGGGAGACTTCAACACCACTTTGTCTCCTCTTGATAGATCAATCAGACTCAAGCTTAGCAAGGACATACTTCATCTGAGGGAAACAATGGAAGAAAGGGACTTAGTAGATATATACAGGACACTTCATCCACAAAAAGCTGAATACACATTCTTCTCAAGCGTACATAGAACATTCTCCAAGATAGACCACATGCTGAGCCACAAAACATGCCTCCATAAAATTAAGAAGATAGAGATTGTATCAACAATCTTCTCAGACCATAATGCGCTGAAATTAGAAGTAAATCACACACAAAAACAGAAAACTAAATCAAACACCTGGAAATTAAACAGTGCACTATTGAACAACGAGTGGATTAGACAGGAAATCAAAGAGGAAATCAAAAGATTCCTAGAAACGAATGAAAATGAGAACACGAGTTACCAAAACCTATGGGACACAGCAAAAGCTGTGCTAAGAGGAAGGTTTATAGCTCTACAAGCATTCCTCAAGAAGGAGGAGCGAGCACACATAAGTAACCTAACCTCACAGCTTAAGAGCTTGGAGGACCAAAAAAAAAGGAGTACAACCCAAACAGGAGAAAGGAAATAATTAAACTCAGAGCAGAGATTAACGAGATATAAACCAAAAAAACAATCCGAAAGATCAATGAAACCAAGAGCTGGTTCTTCAAGAAAATTAACAAGATCGATAAGCCTCTAGCAAAACTCACAAAGAAAGGGAGAGAGAAAACCCTAATAAACCGAATCAGAAATGAAAAGGGGGTCATTACAACAGAAACCACAGAAATTCAGAGGATCCTCAGGGAGTACTTTGAGAAGCTTTATTCCACGAAACATCAAAACCTCGAGGAAATGGATAAATTCCTAGACTCCTACAGACTCCCAAGGCTGAAGCAAGAAGACCTGGGATACCTGAACAGACCTATCACCATCAAGGAAATTGAAATGGTAATAAAAAGTCTCCCCAAGCACAAAAGCCCTGGCCCCGATGGATTCACTAGTGAATTCTTCCAAATCTTTAAAGAAGACTTACTCCCAATCCTCTTTAAGCCTTTCCACGAAATTGAAATATCAAAAACACTTCTGAACAGTTTCTACGAAGCAAATATCTCACTGATACCAAAAGCAGACAGAGATACCACAAAGAAAGAGAATTACAGACCGATATCCCTGATGAACACAGATGCAAAGATCCTCAACAAACTACTAGCAAATAGAATCCAACTACTCATCAAAAAGATCATACACCATGACCAAGTAGGATTCATCCCAGGGATGCAAGGATGGTTTAACATTCGGAAATCAATCAACATAATCCACCATATCAACAAAAGAAAAGATAAAAAGCATAAGATTATATCAATAGATGCAGAGAAAGCATTTGACAAGATCCAGCACCCCTTCATAATGAAAACCCTAGCCAAAATGGGTATAGAGGGGACCTTCCTCAACATAATTAAAGCCATCTACCACAAGCCTACAGTAAGCATCATCCTCAATGGGGAAAAACTAAGAGCCTTCCCTCTATGATCAGGGACGAGACAAGGATGCCCACTGGTTCTTCAAGAAAATTAACCAATATAGCTGTTCAATATAGTACTGGAAGTATTTGCAATAGCGATTAGGCAAGAAAAAGATATTAAGGGCATTCAGGTAGGAAAGGAAGAAAACAAGCTCTCACTATTCGCAGATGATATGATACTATACTTAGAGAACCCAATAACTTCCACCAAAAAACTCCTAGAAACAATAGACTTGTATAGTAAAGTTGCAGGCTATAAAATCAATACGCAAAAGTCCATGGCTTTCCTATATGCAAACAGTGAGAGAGAAGAAAGCAACATGAAAAAAAAATCTCATTCACAATTGTGCCCCAGAAAATCAATTACCTAGGAATCAGTTTAACTAAGGAAGTAAAGGACCTCTACAAAGAAAACTACAAAACGCTACTTCAGGAAATAAAAGAGGACATGAGGAAATGGAAAGATATCCCCTGCTCATGGGTCGGGAGACTTAACATTGTCAAAATGGCAATACTACCGAAAGCATTGTATAAATTCAATGCAATCCCTATAAGGATACCCATGACATTCTTCAAAGAAATGGAGCAAACACTCCTGAAATTTATATGGAACAATAAGCCCCCACGAATAGCTAAAGCAATTCTTGGGAAAAAGAAAATGGGAGGAATCAACCTCCCGAACTTCAAACTGTACTACAAAACGGTAATAATTAAAACAGCATGGTACTGGAACAAAGGCAGAACTGCAGACCAATAGAACAGGGTTGAATACACTGACATCTCCCCTCAATCATATGCTCATCTAATCTTTGATAAAGGTGCAAGTAATGTGAAGTGGAGTAAGGAAAGCCTCTTTAATAAATTGTGTTGGCATCACTGGACGGCTATATGCAAAAAAATGGGCTCAGAACTCTGCCTAACACCATGTACAAAGGTAAGATCAAAATGGATTAAAGACCTCAACATCAGACCAGAAACCATAAGGTACATTGAAGACAAAGTTGGCAAAACCCTCCATGACACTGAAGCTAATGGTATCTTCAAAGATGCCACGCCACTGGCCGAGCAAGTGAAAACAGAGATAGATAAATGGGACTATCTTAAACTAAGGAGCTTCTGCACCTCCAAAGAAACAGTGACCAAAATACAAAGACAGTCTACAGAATGGGAAAGGATATTCACCGAATACACATCTGACAAGGGGTTGATATCCAGGATATACAAAATACTGGTTGAAATCCACAAGAAGAAAACATCCAACCCCATCCAAATATGGGGCAATGAAATGAACAGAAACTTTCTCAAAGAAGAAATCCGAATGGCAAAAAAGCACATGAGAAAATGCTCTACATCATTAATCATCAGGGAGATGCAGATCAAAACCACAATGAGATACCATCTCACACCTCAGAGACTGGCCCACATTCAAAAGAACAAAAGCAACCGATGCTGGCGCGGATGTGGCCAGAAAGGGACACTCCTTCACTGTTGGTGGGAATGTCGACTGGTTCAGCCCTTCTGGAAAACAGTATGGACGATTCTCAAAAAATTAGAAATTGAGCTCCCATTTGACCCAGCAATAACACTCCTGGGAATATATCCCAGAGAGGCAAAAATGTATAGTCGAAGTGACATCTGCACTTGTTTGTTCATTGCAGCACTCTTTACAATAGCCAGAAACTGGAAGAAACCTGAATGCCCAAGAACAGATGACTGGTTAAAGAAACTTTGGTACATCTACACAATGGAGTACTATGTAGCTGTTAGAAAAGATGAAGTCATGAAATTTACATACAAATGGTACAACATGGAAAGTATCATGGTAAGCGAAATGAGTCATAAAGAGAGGGATAGACATGGAAAGATTGCATTCATCTGGGGGATATAAAGTAACAAAATATGAGATTAATACCCAAGAATAGCTGAGATCAGCACCAGGAGGATTACTCCATAACTTAGAGGCCAGCCGGGTATTCTAGGGGAAAGGGCAGTTCAGATAGAGAAGGGAGCACCAAATAAAGGCTGTTTGGAGGATCCTCCCAGGAGGGGAGATGCATGTCGAAAGTAGACTATGGACTGAACATGTTTGCCACTCAATGCCTCTTTTGCAGACCACAACACCCAAAATGAGAGAGAGAACACAGGGGATTGCCCTGCCACAGAGGCAGGGGGGGATGGGGAGATGGGGGTGGGGGGGATATTATCCATGTTGGTGGAAAATGGGCACTGGTGGAGGGATGAGTATCTGATCATTGTATAAAAAAAAAGAAAAGTACTCCTTTAAACAATCCTGATCACCATTCACAAAAAATATAATAAATAAATTAGATGGCTGGTTCATTGATATACACTAAAGTTCTCATAAGGGACTTATCCGATCATTATGAAGTTTGACTATGCTGTCTATTATTAAACTGACTTCTCATTTGCTCGAATAATATTGTGTTAAAAAATAATATTTATGAAAACATTAACCTTTCTTCATATACTAAAGACTACTCCTTATAATTCTATTACTTCTATTAGAAAAATTTAAACACAACATTGCTTTAGAGTTACAGAATCAAGAATCATGAAGGAACTGTCATAATCAAATATAATGTATGCACAGCTTTTTATTTCATAATAATAATTTTAGTTTAATAGGCAATTTTAATAGAACTGGGAAAAAGTACAAAAGACTGGAATTCATATCTGGTTTTCACAATCTCTGAGTTCAATCACCAATATCACATGACTCCAACACCGACATCCACTCCTGAAGACCTGGCCATGGTTATTGCAAGGTATGGTCTTTGTCCCTCAGAACCTCTGGGTTGGGTGGGACAGAGAATGTTTCTTAATGAAACAGTTAAATTAAAACATTGAGTGTTTTTTCATTTTAAAAAGCATACCTTTTCCTTTTTCTAACTTTTGGCTTTTTCTTTTCAGTATTTTTTTTTGAAACTTCTAGCTGAAAAATAACAAAAAAGATGAATTAATTCATGTGGGATCAGATGAACTCAATATAGTAATGGTCATATACGGTCCAAAACTTTAGCCAGAAGAACAACTCTGGCCCACAGCCCTAAGCAGCACCTGCAACTCTAAATCAACCATTTCATAGTAATACATTTGCACTGATCTGCTCAAATTCCTGGAATGTGAGGCTAATCCAATATGAATGCTTATCTGAGATATATACTTCCTGATTCTCATCTTCTCAAATCATAAAAATCCTAAGCATAGCAGCATTTTTGGAGAAGAGGAGGTACTTCCCAAGTAATGCTCAGGAGCCAGGGGCCACTCTGATAGTGAGGCAAACAGGCCAAATGATTCAATGCTTTGCTGCCAATGCAGTGCTGTTAAGGAGAGAGGATAGGCCACTGGGTACTCCTTTAGGTTCTGGGGACACCAGGACCACACCCAGTAGCAAATAGGTGAGCAATGTTGTGCCAGGACTTGAACCTGGTCCTGGAGTATTGAGGGCATACATCCTTGACCACCCATCTACGTTCCAAGCCCCAATAAAACAGTCGTTAATTTTTAATACATATATTAACCTTTAAAGAGAGAAAAACCAAAATCCAGACACCAGTAACATGGAACACAAAGGTATCTAGGTGAAACATGCCTCCAGGAAGCCCATAAAGAATCTATCAGTGTAGTGTCAAAAAACCTGTGCTAGGGTTTTAATGTTCAAACACAGGATGAGAGTATAGAAAAACTGAAACTCTCATACATTGTTGGTGGAAATTTTACCAAATAGAGTCACATGGAATACAGCTGGACATTTCCTCAAAATGTTCAACATGGATGTACCCCGCAATCCAGCAATTCCTTTTAGACATATACCCAAGAGAAAAAAGTCCATATTTCCACATAAGGCACTATATATGCATTTTGTTAATAATAGTTATTTATATTAATAATAAACAGAAAACAATCACTGATAAGTCTCAAGATATGTGATATGCAATTAAATAGTATGTTTCACTGTCACTGTCCTCCCATTGTTCATCGATTTGCTCAAGCGGGCCCAGTAACGTCTCCATTGTGACAATTGTTACTGTGTTTGGCATATCGAATACGTCACAGGTAGCTTACCAGGCTTTGCCATGTGGGCAAGATACTCTCCATAGTTTACCGGGCTCTCTGAAAGGGGCGGAGAAATCAAACTTGGGTCGGCCATGTTGGCTATGTGCAAGGCAAATGCCCTACCTGCTGTGCTATCACTGCAGCCCAGATAGTATGTGTATACATAGAAATATTATTCAGATTTAATAAAGTATCAACATAATTATAACATGCACAGATCTGGAAATCATCAAGTTATACAAAAAGTATGTGTGTGGGGGTGGGGGGTTGGAGGTAGTACAGAAAGACACAAATTTTAAGGACTACTTATGTGAAAAGTCTAAAAAGATAAACCTATAAATACAGAAGATTAGTGGTTGTCAAAACTGGGGAAGATGAAAAATGGTTAGTCACAGACAGTAGGTAAAGAATTCCCTTTTGAGATGATGTACTGTGTCCTAAAATAGAGGCTGAATATATAGAGCTTGCATTGCATGTAGTTGACCCCAGTTCAATACCTGGCACTGCATATAGTGCCCTGCATACTGCCAGGAGTAATCCCTGAGCAAGTAAGTCCTGAAAACTTCCAGTTATGACTGTATTTGAAAAAAATTACTGAATTGAATATTCTAAAAGAATTAATTTTTTGGTCTATAAATTACATCTCTATAAATATATAATTTTTAAAAACTCTAATGATTTGGAAAGTTGAAAGCAAGAAGATAGAATGCATTATAACAATATTCACTAATCAAAACAACCAACTGCAATAAAATCACCTTAAATAAACCCTGGATGTTAAGGCAAAAGCATAATCATAGATAAAAAGATATTTTTAAAGCTAAAAGAAATAACCCATGCAGGAAGTATAGTTGTAGTGAAAACATACATGTCTAAAATCTACATAGTGAAAATAGACAGAATGGCAGGTAGAAAATAGTGAATCTATATAGGCAATAAGATAATTTGTGAAAATTACAATAGAGTTCAAAAATACAAATAAATTAAATAAACACATCAAACCTGGAACTGAATAATGATTGAATTTATATTATTCTCAAGACTGAAATATTTACCAAAAATATCCTGCAATGGACACAGAAAAGAATCTCTGAACCGAGCAGCTCACTGAGAGATTTCTTCAGACCCTAATTATCTAACATTTCAGATTTCTAGGAGCACGTGGCCACTCTTGCAGCCATGCGACATTCATAGCAGGCAATACAAATAAATTATCTAGCATTTGCCTCTTCAGCAGTTTGAGTGGAGGTGGAAAATTCAAAATAATGGTGGTGGAAGGTGTGACGGTGGTGGTACTGGTGTCAAAATATTGACTGGAATCCATTATTGTGAACAACTTTATGAAAATTTTAAAAATATGCTTATGTATTAGTCACAAAGTCACAAAAATATTTAAAAATGTCTACTTTATAGACCACATTTACTAAGAGAGGAATCAAAACATAAAAAATAGCCAACTAAGATTAGTAAACAATTCACACAATTAAAAGAATTAACAGGGGCTGGAGAGATAGTACAGCTCTGGAAAGATAGTACATGATAGCTGGAGAGATAGTACACGCTTGCCTTACACGTTTCTGATCTAGGTTTGATCTCAAACATCCCATATGGTTGCCTGAACACCAGCAGGCGTAATTCCTGAATACAGAGCCAGAAGTAACTCCTGAGCATCACCAGGTGTGGCTCCAAAACTAAAATAAATAAATAAGTTTACATTACCCACTGACTTCATCTCTAGAGGCAATGCAAAATTATTTTTTTTGTATCTTGCTACTAAGAGTCCATCAAAGTATGGACTAAGCATCTATTAGAAAACAAAATTTACATTGGAGAAAATAAATTCCTTTTCTATTGTGTTAAATCTTCTAATGGCAATCTAAATGAACTTCTCAAGCCAAATTGCTCTTTGCTTTGGTGCTAAAGCCTTTGCTAAATTATGATACGAAGAGAAAGGGAGATGAATTTGGAAAGGCAGTATCTGGATTTGAATGCTAACTCTGATGCTTATTAGAAGAATTACTTTAAGTAAGACAATTGAACACTCTACTAAGACAATTGCTTATTAGATGAATTACTTTAAGTAAGACAATTGAACACTCTACTATGTAGAGTGTCTCATATAAGTCATATATAATACACAACATTTTTAAAACTAAATATCCATGTGCATGTTAGGGTCTTTTGAAATAATGCTTTAAAAAATTACTCCTTTCAAGCATCCTGAAGAATATTCCATTGTGCTTAGCAATTAGTTTAATCTGATATATTGAATCAGTGTCATAATTCTTTCTTTTTGCTCCATGGTTTATGGCAGATAGAACTTGGTTGGCCCTTTGATAGAGCTAGAATTTGTAGTTTCCTAAATTGTCAAAGAAAAAAAACTACCACAAACTTGGTAAAATATCAGCAATTTATTAAATTAGAAATCCTTTTATTTATCTTTAGATTTTTGTTCTTGGACAGCATTCACAGATCCTCAGGGCTGGATCCTGACTCTGTGCTAAGGAATCACTCCTGGTCCCCATAGAGGGGGATCATATGGGATGCCAGATTGAACCCAGTTTGGCCGCTTGCAAGACAAACACCCTGCACACTGTACTACTGTTCCAGCCCCAGAAATTCATTTCTTATACAGACATTCATCAATGAATTTAGGGCTTACCTAAGCCAGTGATCTCATCTCAAAATTCTTACCCTTAATTAGGTCTGCAAAAATCCTCACATTAAATTTGGTCGTGTTTTTAGGTTCCTGGTAAACACATCTTTGGGGGGCTACTATTCAACTCATTGTAAGTGATTTTAAAAAAGATATTTTTAAAGCTAAAAGAAATAACCCACGCAGGAAGTATAGTTGTAGTGAAAACATACATGTCTAAAATCTACATAGTGAAAATAGACAGAATGGCAGGTAGAAAATAGTGAATCTATATAGGCACTTACAGATTCCACCCCTCTGCTTCTCTACTTGTGTTGCCAATGACTTATATAATAACGTGCAATTCAGAGTAAGAGTGACAAAGAGTGACAATGTGACCATATCAATGGTGTCTGAAAGTTTGTTATAAGAGCAATTTTTCATGTTTACTCCAGGTGTACAGATACAAACTGAGAGTAGGGACCATAAATCTGAATTTTCATTAGCTTTTAAGATAGCTCTTTAGTATCCTGCAGTTTTCTGAGCCAACCCATACATATCCATGCCATGAAACATAATTAATTTAAAATAAATCAAAGTAAGCCTTACTTCTTTTATCTGGCTAGATTAAAAAAGAATGATGTAAATGTATAGAGAATGTATACCACTTACTGAAAAAAAGGTATTACATATATTTAATGATAATTAGAATTCTGACTAGAATAGCAAACAATAGAACTGCCTTTAATTGCAAAGGGCAGAAAATCCATAAGAATTGTGTTTATATCGATGTGTATTAATCTGCATAAACTGACTTGACATTGCCCGACTTCTTAAGTCACTATTCATCTAAATGAAAATCTCTTTTATTTTTTAAGCTGAGAGGAACATGTTTGTTAGCTGTGTTAAGTACGAGGGTATAAAATTTTTTGATTCAGCATTTTGTGCTCATATAAGACATAAATAAGTTTTGTAACCTTCTTTTGAGGGTAATTGTCAGTCAATAATCACTAAAGATCTGCCTACTTTGACAGAATTTCCAAAAATGACTCTGTGCCTTGAATAATGTACTAACTCCTTGTCAAAAGTTATCACAGAAAAGGAAAAGCCAATATTCTTATTTCCCTTTGAAATATCTTCTGGGAAAATATTCTTAAAATAAGGCTGAAAAATTTTAAAATAGCATTTTTGTAAATTATGGTTAGTAACCTGAGTATGTGGTGAGTAAAAATAATATAGTT